ATGTTTTGATTTGAATGTACAGTGTTTTTGCAGTGTTTAAGGATGCATTATCTGTGTACCTCAGGCACTGAACCTCAGGCAGGAAACTCATTGATCTATATGTTTAGGCCCCGATTTCACGGAACAAACTTAATTTTCGCTCAAATTTGAAAAACGCAAGAAAATACATATAGCAGAATAAACTGAAATTAATATTTAACTCAAACATAGTAGACAATTTCAGTTTGGTAGATACTCGTAGTTTGCTTGAGTTGTTTGGGCTTTTTGATTTGTAGAAATACAAGTGAGGGAGAAATTCAGCTGTTTCAAATTGTCGAACTCAGTTTGAAATTTGAGTAAAAACTTAGTTTGTTTCGAGAGATCAGGACCAGATCTTAGTTCGTCATTGAGGGCAGTGCGGTAGCCCAGTGGTTTGAACGTTTGCCTGGGTTCAATTCCCCATATGGGTACAATGTGAGTGTGAAGCCCATTTCTGGTGTCCCCTGCTGTGATATTGCTGGTATATTGCTAAAAGTGGCTTAAAAACCGAATCACTCATTAGTGATTGACAGAAAACCATCAATTAACTAGAAATGAATTTTGAAAAATCTTTGTTGTGAGATTATTCAGTGAGATGTGAACGAAGTCTTTAAATGTTTAAGATTTTTGTCACTGTTGTTGAAGATGATTGTACTCTGATAATAATACTGCTGCTGATTTTCCGGTGAATGTTGGTACAGATGTTGCTAAAGTTGATGTTTATGTTGATGCTGCTGATGTCAGCAGTTTTTTTTCTAATGGCACCAGACTATTTGGTACAGATGATTTTCTGATTGGGTAAAGTACGAAGCCTGTCAGGTTGAATTGCCTCCACTTCTGTAATTGTAACGCATATGTTAGTAAGAAAGGGAACATTATTAAAGTGAAACAACTCGAAGCCAGTCCGCCAGAGACATCAAAGACCGGGATCCCATTAGCCGAGATGGAAACTAAGTGACACACATGAATGTTAGTGTGCCTGTGATCGGCAGCAGTACGGGGCTGGCTAATCAAGCCATGGTGATCTATCTGTACCCCAGCAGGGGGGTGAAGGAGGTGGGGGGGAGTCGATGGGGGGCTGGCTGTCATTATAATTGAGCATGAAGACGGAGAGGTAGGCATAGGATGGGGTGATCAGGTTTCAGGTCAGATCACTGCTTCCAGTTTGTTCCCCTATAGAGGAAACTACAGACATGGGCATGAACGAGTCCATGTTTCAATGGCTCTAGCAGATATTGGTATCTATGTTACTGATATCGTGGCATGTTGGGCCCATTATTGAGGGGTACGGAAATCTGAGCTGGAAAGTCACTGCTAAGTTGATGTTTAGACTATCAGTATCAACACAAGTAGTTATAGGGGGAAGGGCAATTGGTACCCTTGTATCTCAACCTGTTTTGCTTGGGACAAAAAGTCTATGATCAGCCTCAGGTTACTTGAACAAGCTCTGGTGTACATGTATCACTAGTCTGATGTATCACCAGCCACAAGGATCAGGAGTCTTGATTTGATTGTCCTGAGTGGGTGGATCGTCTATAATAATAATATGAACATAATTAAATAATGGGTTAATTATCATATCTGAGTAGGTTTATCATTAAATCAGCCCCTTATGAGTTGATCATCAATCCATAAAAGTAGATCATGGATTTATAATAGGCTGATCATCAGTCCTGAGTAGGTTTATCATTAACTCAACCTGTGATAAGTTGATCATCAATCCATAAACATAGATTATTGGTCTATAATAGGTTGATCATCAGTTCTGATTTGGTATATCGTCAAATCAATCCGTAATAAGTTGACCATCAGTCCTAGAACATTAAATGTAGATCATGTATCTTTGATAGGCTGATCATCAGTCCTTAAATGTAGATCATGTATCTTTGATAGGCTGATCATCAGTCCTTAAATGTAGATCATGTATCTTTGATAGGCTGATCATCAGTCCTTAAATGTAGATCATGTATCTTTGATAGGCTGATCATCAGTCCTTAAATGTAGATCATGTATCTTTGATAGGCTGATCATCAGTCCTTAAATGTAGATCATGTATCTTTGATAGGCTGATCATCAGTCCTTAAATGTAGATCATGTATCTATGATAATGGCTGATCATCAGTCCTTAAATGTAGATCATGTATCTTTGATAGGCTGATCATCAGTCCTGTGTAGGCTTATCATCAAATCAATCAGCGATAAGTTGATAATCTGTCCATAAATGTAGATCATTGGTCTATAAATAGATCAATCAAAGGCCTTTAGTTGATTGAACATAAATCTTGATTAGCTTCATTATCAAGTCAATCCATCATTGGATGGCCTTCAATCTATAATAGGTTGATCTTCAGACCACAAAAGGTTATCTTTTATCTGGAAAATGAAGATTGTCAGTCCATACAAGATTGATTTTTATCAATGGAAGGTTGATAGTCAGTCTATAGTAGGTTCATAATCAGACTATATTAGGTTTATAATCAGACTGTAGTAGGTTGATAATCAGTCCAAAGAAGCTTTATAATGAGACTGATATATGTTGATCATCAGTCAATAATTGCTTGATCATTAGTCTGAAATAAGGTGATCGCCAACACTTGAATGGTTGATCCCCAGTCCTGAAGGAGTTTTTGAGATTTCAACCTGATTATTGCATGCAGCCAGAATATCAACCAAGTTAAGTATCAACTTTACACTTCAAATGTTTGACCACAGTCACAGCTCGTGATTAGCCCTTGTCTTACGACAGCATCCAACATGTGCTCGGCATTCAGGATGTAAGTTTATGAGTAGTGGAGTATTGTGCCCCATCCTCCCATGTGACTGCTTGTCTGGTGATTGTGATGTATCCCTGATCAGTCTCCAAACATAGCCAGGCTGATCGCCTACAGCCCTGCAGCCTCCGCATGGGATCCCCGCACAAACATCTCGGGGAGGGAGGGGGCTACAGCATGCCTGTGCTGTGACTTGAAGTTGAACGAGAGGCCGATCACAGGCACGACAGAGGGGCAACTGGTGATCACATGACCTGATCACATGACCCAATCAGTTCTGAAACCATATGAATTTGATCTACATCCTCGTGTGTGTTTGTGTGTGGAGAATTGGGGCAGATGAGACGTGGCATAGATTAGGACAGGCTCTTGTGGATGCTGTAGAGTTGGGCAGAGGATGTCCATGAGTTAATCAAAGTTAGGGGATTCTGGTTTAATACGTTTTGGGTACAGATTTTTTTAAAATGTGAAAACTCTGCAAACTTTTCACTCACTGTGGTGCTTTCATTTTAGTTTGATCAGTATTTTCAGTGTTGCTTGTAGAGATTACAATAGTTAGAATATAGGAGGGGTCACAGGTCAGAAGAATAACCCTTGAACAAATTAAGCCAAATTGTGGGCATATGAACCCTGATACCTGAGTAACTAATAGTCTGTTGCCTCTACTGACTGCACAAGTTTTACTATCTCATGAACAGATGATGGAGTTTTGTTACCATAACGATTTACACATGGTCACATGTTAGCGGCGTTCCTGTGATCAATTGTGATCAGTTATTGATTGGTTACCCTGTACCAATGTCATGATTGATTTTGCTTCTCAATAATCAGTTGTAGAGAGAAATGATATTTATACACATTGATTATTGCCCAAAATCAATGCCGAAATCAATCGATGATTCACGCCAATGGCCACAGCTTGAGTGTGATCGATCAAATAATTAAATGTTCGCTGAATAAATCAATTGATAATCAATTAAAAAACGACTCGAAAATTATGCAGGAACTTTTCATTGTGACCACAATAAACATGGTAAAGAGAACTATCAGTTTGAAATATATACTCAGTTAGCTTATAAACTTGTCCATGGAAACTTGGAACATGTCTGTATTTATCCTCGGCTAATGTGTTTAGCATTTTTCTAAATCATTCTATTAAATAGAGAGCATGTTTTGGCACTGACTTTTAGCTGGGATAATGTTTTTATGTATACTTGATACTGATGGTAAGGTAATGAGAATTGAATGTTTCATTGTGTCACACAGCCAAGAACCTAATATGTCTGTCGAGAGGAATCATTTACCCTGTAAAGTTACCCAACTCCAGTTAAAATTCTCAGTTTCTTTTTGCTTTTGTGCTAATTTCACTCGCGTTTATCTGATGCAGTTTTTAGAATTTAAGGTAATACATCAGTAGCCAGAGCTGTTCCATGGGAAAGCACATAAAAACTCAGAAAAGCGTGATTTCTCAGTTTTGGTGAATGCTAACTTATATGTTTACCCGCCAAAACAGTGAAATGGTACAGCTCACTTGATGGGCAAGTCAGTATGCCCAGATATAGTTTGGAAGAATAAAATATATTTCTTTTCAAACATTTCTCACCCTCCATCCACCATGTTTGTCACAGATAATCCAGAAAGCACGGCTCAGCGTGATGCAACATAAATATGTGTCCAACTTCCTTACAGTTATTTACTTGACCCTGACTGATATTGATTGAACAGGAATTAAATATGCATGATGTAGATAAGGTCAGAACAACATGGCCACCTGTCTGTGTCCCAAACTAGTTTGTGAGTCATATTGGCCACCCAATACCTATTATTGTTGCCAAAGACTTTCAGCCATTGTGACCACCTAATCAACATAGTAGTGTAAGCTGACCCCAGCATTCTGGAATGCAACAGGCCAAGCCTTCTTGGTCACCAGGATCACCTTTGTGGTAAATGATAAGCCCAGTTTGTTGTGAAATGTAGACTTTGCGCATTTCAACCACCAAATTGACTTTGATGTATTTGGTGAACACAGTTTGTTTTTAAATACCAGAGGCTTCGAGCCTTTATGGCCAGCAAATCGAGATTGTAGTACTAGCTAAGCAAAGTTTGTTATGTAATGCCCAGGGGAGACAAGAGTAAGTCTTTGTTCATGTTGAGGAGTTTGCAAAGAGTACCTGTTGTGGTTTGTTTTAATTTTGTTGTTTATTGTTGCAGAAAGATCTTGACACGACTGCCACAGAACTCGCCAATCGCCAAGATGAAAGTGACATCTCCAGAAAACGTCTGGTGGAACAAAGTAGAGAATTTAAGAAAAACACACCTGAGGTAAGCAGACATTTACATACTGCCATGGCTTGTCTTTGTTGATTACAGCTGGATGATAGACAAGTCAATGGCTGTCTGTCATTCCCCCTAATACTCCTCATCTACTATTAACACAGAATCTGAATTCGTTTTTATTGTGAGAATGAGTGAGTGGGTTTGATTTATCACTGCTTTGAACAATATTCTAATATTCTGGTCATGTCATAGTATGTCTGCTTGATGTGGAAGGAAAGACCAACGTTATACAGGTTTCCGATGTTTCACCCGTGAAGATCCGGGTTAGAATCGGTCTCCAGCAACCCATGTTTGTCATAAGAGGCAACTAACAGGATTGGGTGGTCAGCTTGATGACATGGTTGACACATGTCATTGTATCCCAATTATGTAGATTGATGCTCATGATGTTGATCACTGGATTGTGTAGTCCAGACTTACCAACCACTGTCATATAGTTGGAATATTGCTGAGTGCGGCGTAAAACAACAAACCAAACAAAGATTAGATGTTTATCCAGAAACATGGGTATGGTGCTAAGTTCTTAACGAACCTGAAATCAAGTCAGTATTTGAACCCATCATGTTTCTGGCGTGCCCAAAGGTTTCGGCTCACCTCAGCTAGTGTTGTCTATCATGACATGACCTACTACAGCCACATAGATACACTTTTTAAGAATATTATGTAAATAGTAGACATCTGCAGTATTACCAGTATTGCCAGAACCGTGAAGGTCCGGGTTAGAATGAACCTTCAGTAACCCATGCTTATCGTGAGAGGCGACTAACGGGATCGGGTGGTCAGGCTTGCTGACTTGGTTGACACATGTCATCGGTTCCCAATTACGCAGGTCGATGCTCATGATGTTGATCGCTGGATTGTCTGGTCCAGACTCGATTATTTACAGACCGCCGCCATATAGCTGGAATATTGCTGAGTGCGGCTTACAACTAAACTCACTCAGTATTGCTGATGTACACTGATTTAAATTACTAATGAATATTTGTCACATCTGGTTTTTAAAATGTTGATATATTGCATTTTTCAAAATCATGTATGTTGGCAAAAATTAAATAAGTGATAAGTGGAATTGAATAATGAAATTCTGAAATTAGAAAAAGCAAAACTACTCCTGACCAGCTTCCTGTTTATAATTGGTCCATTACCTGTTGTTGACTGTAGTAACATTGCTGTAGATGTCAACAACATATTGGTCAATTTCAAGTTATGTGGATTATATGTATTGGGTTCATAACAAATAACTTATTAAACAGTGTGTGAGTACATTGTACATATCATGATACATAAAATATTGTAGCAATATTGCAATACAAAAGCCAGGCTACTACCCTTCATTAGTAAATAGCAGGTCGCCTGTATTTTGGAAGTGGTGAAATATGGCAGTAATGCTTATATAATATATGTATGGTATTTTGAACTCCTACCAGAACGGAACTCATCTTATCAGTATGTGCCTCTAAAGTCTTGTACACCCACACCTGTATCAGAGGAATTGCAAAATCATCCTTTCCAACTACACATGTTTATTTTCATGAACTCTGAAATTGAACAGATGGAGATATACTGTCACATTGAATATTTGTCTCTGTGTAAATGTATTATTACTGTTATCATTATGTTATAGGGGCCTAGATCATTTACATTATGGCTGTGATGAGCCTGGGTGCATAATTTCGAGAAGTTCTTATCGTCAGCTCATGGGAACTGATCAGAGAACATGGGTTGGTTCGTAACATGTTGTCACATTATTGAATCTTATCACCGGAACGCCGCAAGTGCCAAACCCTTCCAGCTGCAAGGTTTACAAACTTCTTATAAGTATATTCATTATCAATAAGTAGCTTCCCTGTACTGACATGTGTAATCTGGGTTCAAATTTTGCATTAGTGTGTTTGTAGTTTCCACAAGTCGTAGGGGTGAGTTTTACCAGCTGATGGCCCACTTAGAACCTCCACTCCCACTTGGAAGGCCAAGTTTGAGTTGAAAATTGAAATTATCTCCAGGTATCCAAAATAGGAAAGGTTGCATATGATAAGGGAGGTCATGCTTGCAATTTTTTGAAATACAACAAGAGTTCAAATATATATTTTGGTAATCAGGAGGTGTGCTACAGGTGGAAGATCCCACACTGCTTTCTTTCTGCTCACCGATAATGATCCCGTGTTGTCGTGCTGTGTCTAGTCATTGTCTGGAAAGCAGCATCGATGTTCAAGTTCACTGATTTAGCCATAGTCCCAGGAATCTGTCCATGATCTTCAAATATAAAGTCAGGGCTAATGTATGCCTTAAAAATCAATTAAAATCAATTAAGTAATGACACAATATAAGATTTCAAGCGTATTATTAATGCACATAAATACCTTTGTACGTCTAACATTTAATTTCCGTGCGTATCGTGCAAATGGAAATCTATTTCGGATAAATACTTGTCAAGTTTCTTTTACGAAACACGATTTGACACATGAGGAAACCCTGACAGTAGGAATCCCTTGCGTTGCCATGCAACGATATGCGTCACTATTTTTCGATTGGCTAAAAACTACACTGTTCCTATTTATATCCAGTCGGACCTGACATTTCGCGCATCACACGGTCGCTCAGTTATTTCTCACGCGTCTTCAAATACAAATACTAGTACATGGTTGGAAATAGTGATCGATGAATCGTCCAGACAAACCACATCACCAACTCGCTCACACAAAAACATGTCAGTACTCCTTCAAAATTCTCAGTACACCTCCACTTGCAATATGATGTGTAAGTACACTCACACCCCCAAAAGTTATCTGGAGCCCTGTAAAGTGATGGAATGTGGTGGTTAACATTGGTTAGATATGAAGCTTTTAAAGATTCTCAAGAAACTTATTGCTACCCATGTCTCCCCCCTGTTGTGATAGATTCAGTTATTCTCAGGACTAGGAGTCAGGACAGTTTTCTCAGCAACTCCATTGCCACACCTTTGTCTACCACAATCTTCCAACCTCATATCTACCACTTGATGCATGCGACCATCTCATTTCGAACACTTTATGCATATTACTTTTTTCTTCCACCTTATGCATGCTACCACCTTGTATTGAAAACTTGATGCATGCAACCATCTCATATCTCCCACATTATGCATGTTCCCACCTCGTATCTACCACATTATGCATGTGACCATTTTGTATCTACTGTATATTACTGTAGATAAGCCAAATTTTAAACAAGCAGTCTGTAGAAGGGGGGTCATCTTATCTTGCGTTACACTTTCATCAAACTTTTTTCCAAGGGGTAAGAAAACGACATTGTACCGCTTCGCATTAACAAAGAGACAAGAGAAGATGACTTTGTCAGTAAAGACGTCGAATTTGCAATTAAACATCACTAGACAAGATTATTTACCTTTTAAGTTCTAATTTGCTTTTTCTGGTTATTGTATTATTTGCAGGGATTAAGATTACTGTGTGTATTTGTCTCGTATATAGAGCCGAAAATAGCAATCAGCTTTGCACACATTTCCCGTCGATCAACGGGTGATTTATTTAAAACATACACAATAATATTACGGGATGAATTCTGATGCAGTGATCAGTAAAATATAATACATAAAACTATTATTGAACCCAAAGTAATATATCCTAGCATTGTATAATTTTAATTACAGGTGTTGCTCTATAAACGTAAAATATGTATAATCAACACTCAGGTTATATACGAACCCTCATGAACATGGTAAGCCCAAGTTGTACGTACATGGAATGAGGTGAAGTAAGCATGCCATTTAAATTCACACACGTTTTCAGCAATGTTACTGAAAAGTACCAGTCTATGGATAACAAGGCGGTAATCAGTTCGTGATTGTTGATAATATGATCTGAAATTGCTATCGCTGTTGGAGCGAAAAAATGTACCCTCACGAACATGGTAGGCGGAAGTTGTACGCACATGGAATGGGGTAAAATAAGCATGCCAGTTTGTTGACATGTGATCGTCCAGCTACAATAAGTGTGAGTTTTAGCAAAACAAAATATGTTATCCATTTTCTGCCATGTGAGTAGACACAATATGATTGTGAATTCTTTGAAAAATGGGGACCAAAGTTTTAATTATCGGTAACTGCCAGTTGTCTGTGGTCTGAGTTTGCCGTGATTAGGACCCCATCGCGGGGATCAGCTTAGGTACGAAACATACCATTTTGACACGGATGTTAAGGGTCAAGTTAGGGGGTCGGCTTATCTATGGTAATATATGGTACCACATTATGCATGCTACCATCTCATTTCGAACACTTCATGCATATTATCACGTCGTATCTGTCGTCTTATGCATGCTATCACCTCATATCTACCACCTTATGCATACAACTACCTACAGCTCACTGATGACCTCCTCATGTCTCCCCCTGTATCAACTACCATCCACCACCCATTGTCCACCACATCGTGTCTTGTACCTCATTGTCTACCACATCTACCACCAGTCTCATCTACTACCTCACCTACAATCTTGTTGCTACCACCCCTTGTCTATGGCTTGTCCTCTCACACATCTACCAATGAGATCTAATCATTGAAATTCAGGTGTGTCTGAGACAGTGATATGTCATGTTGAACCAGTGGAGTGGATTGTCATTCCTTCTATCAACCACTGATTGGCCCGTCCTAGACTTGATTATTTAATGTTGCTGTGATGTAGCTGGAGTTCCTCTGACGTAAAACGCCACCACCATTCAGGTAGGAAGTGGCAGTGGGGTGCTTGCCCTGACACCTGTTGACCAGATCCTGGTGACTGGGTCATGATCTCACAATGTCGGACATGGTGTGTGACCGACCAGATGTCCTGTATGGTAACACCGCCCACGACTACACATAACAACACACATAATGTGTGATACAGCATGTTAAAACTCCTTATCTCACTCTGCCATCCGACTATTTTCTTGGTCAGTTGATATTATATCAGTGATACATAATATTACATGCCTTGATATTCCTTTATACATA